GATTTTAACAAATATGGATTTTATAAAAAATATTTTTTTTAAGTATCAACAAACGGTGATTTTTTAAAAAATATTTTTTTTAAGTATCAACAAACGGTGATTTTTTAAAAAATATTTTTTCAATGAAACAGTAGGCGTAGATTTTTAAAAAAACTATATTTTTTAAGTATCAACAAACGGGGATTTTTTAAAAAATATTTTTTCAATGAAACAATAGATGTAGATTTTTTTAAAAAAATATTTTTTTTAAGTATCAACAAACGGGGATTTTTTAAAAAATATTTTTTCAATGAAACAATAGACGTAGATTTTTTAAAAAAAAATATTTTTTTAATGAAAGAATAGACGTAGATTAAAAATATAAAAAAATATTTTTTCAACATTTTAACTAACGTGTATTTTTTAAAAAATATTTTTTCAACATTTTAACTAACGTGGATTTTTTAAAAAATATTTTTTCATCAATGCAACAAACGTGGATTTTTTAAAAAATATTTTTTCATCAATGCAACAAACGTGGATTTTTTAAAAAATATTTTTTCATCAATGCAACAAACGTGGATTTTTTAAAAAATATTTTTTCATCAATGCAACAAACGTGGATTTTTTAAAAAATATTTTTTCATCAATGCAACAAACGTGGATTTTTTAAAAAATATTTTTTCATCAATGCAACAAACGTGGATTTTTTAAAAAATATTTTTTCATCAATGCAACAAACGTGGATTTTTTAAAAAATATTTTTTCATCAATGCAACAAAAGTGGATTTTTAAAAAATATTTTTCATCAATGCAACAAACGTGGATTTTTAAAAAAATATTTTTCATCAATGCAACAAACGTGGATTTTTTAAAAAATATTTTTTCATCAATGCAACAAACGTGGATTTTTTAAAAATATTTTTTCATTAATGCAACAAACGTGGATTTTTTAAAAAATATTTTTTTATCAATGCAACAAACGTGGATTTTTTAAAAAATATTTTTTCATCAATGCAACAAACGTGGATTTTTTAAAAAATATTTTTTCATCAATGCAACAAACTTGGATTTTTTAAAAAATATTTTTTCATCAATGCAACAAACGTGGATTTTTTAAAAAATATTTTTTCATCAATGCAACAAACGTGGATTTTTTAAAAAATATTTTTTCATCAATGCAACAAACGTGGATTTTTTAAAAAATATTTTTTCATCAATGCAACAAACGTGGATTTTTTAAAAAATATTTTTTCATCAATGCAACAAACGTGGATTTTTTAACAAATATTTTTTCATCAATGCAACAAACGTGGATTTTTTAACAAATATTTTTTCATCAATGCAACAAACGTGGATTTTTTAAAAAATATTTTTTCATCAATGCAACAAACGTGGATTTTTAAAAAATATTTTTTCATCAATGCAACAAACGTGGATTTTTTAAAAAATATTTTTTCATCAATGCAACAAACGTGGATTTTTTAAAAAATATTTTTTCATCAATGCAACAAACGTGGATTTTTTAAAAAATATTTTTTCATCAATGCAACAAACGTGGATTTTTTAAAAAATATTTTTTCATCAATGCAACAAACGTGGATTTTTTAAAAAATATTTTTTCATCAATGCAACAAACGTGGATTTTTTAAAAAATATTTTTTCATCAATGCAACAAACGTGGAATTTTTAAAAAATATTTTTTCATCAATGCAACAAACGTGGATTTTTTAAAAAATATTTTTTCATCAATGCAACAAACGTGGATTTTTTAAAAAATATTTTCAAAATTTTAACAAACGTGGATTTTTTAAAAAATATTTTTTCATCAATGCAACAAACGTGGATTTTTAAAAAATATTTTTTCATCAATGCAACAAACGTGGATTTTTTAAAAAATATTTTTTCATCAATGCAACAAACGTGGATTTTTTAAAAAATATTTTTTCATCAATGCAACAAACGTGGATTTTTTAAAAAATATTTTTTCATCAATGCAACAAACGTGGATTTTTTAAAAAATATTTTTCATCAATGCAACAAACGTGGATTTTTTAAAAAATATTTTTTCATCAATGCAACAAACGTGGATTTTTTAAAAAATATTTTTTCATCAATGCAACAAACGTGGATTTTTTAAAAAATATTTTTTCATCAATGCAACAAACGTGGATTTTTTAAAAAATATTTTTTCATCAATGCAACAAACGTGGATTTTTTAAAAAATATTTTTTCATCAATGCAACAAACGTGGATTTTTTAAAAAATATTTTTTCATCAATGCAACAAACGTGGATTTTTTAAAAAATATTTTTTCATCAATGCAACAAACGTGGATTTTTTAAAAAATATTTTTTCATCAATGCAACAAACGTGGATTTTTTAAAAAATATTTTTTCATCAGGGCAACAAACGTGGATTTTTAAAAATATTTTTTCATCAATGCAACAAACGTGGATTTTTTAAAAAATATTTTTTCATCAATCCAACAAACGTGGATTTTTAAAAAAATATTTTTTCATCAATGCAACAAACGTGGATTTTTTAAAAAAATATTTTTTCATCAATGCAACAAACGTGGATTTTTTAAAAAATATTTTTTTATCAATGCAACAAACGTGGATTTTTTAAAAAATATTTTTTCATCAATGCAACAAACGTGGATTTTTTAAAAAATATTTTTTCATCAATGCAACAAACGTGGATTTTTTAAAAAATATTTTTTCATCAATGCAACAAACGTGGATTTTTTAAAAAATATTTTTTCATCAATGCAACAAACGCGGATTTTTTAAAAATATTTTTTCATCAATGCAACAAACGTGGATTTTTTAAAAAATATTTTTCATCAATGCAACAAACGTGGATTTTTTAAAAAATATTTTTTTTATCAATGCAACAAACGTGGATTTTTAAAAAATATTTTTTCATCAATGCAACAAACGTGGATTTTTTAAAAAATATTTTTTCATCAATGCAACAAACGTGGATTTTTTAAAAATATTTTTTCATCAAGGCAACAAACGTGGATTTTTTAAAAAATATTTTTTCATCAATGCAACAAACGTGGATTTTTTAAAAAATATTTTTCATCAATGCAACAAACGTGGATTTTTAAAAAAATATTTTTTCATCAATGCAACAAACGTGGATTTTTTAAAAAAATATTTTTTCATCAATGCAACAAACGTGGATTTTTTAAAAAATATTTTTCATCAATGCAACAAACGTGGATTTTTTAAAAAATATTTTTTCATCAATGCAACAAACGTGGATTTTTTAAAAAATATTTTTCATCAATGCAACAAACGTGGATTTTTTAAAAAATATTTTTTCATCAATGCAACAAACGTGGATTTTTTAAAAAATATTTTTTCATCAATGCAACAAACGTGGATTTTTTAAAAAATATTTTTTCATCAATGCAACAAACGTGGATTTTTTAAAAAATATTTTTTCATCAATGCAACAAACGTGGATTTTTTAAAAAATATTTTTTCATCAATGCAACAAACGTGGATTTTTTAAAAAATATTTTTTCATCAATGCAACAAACGTGGATTTTTTAAAAAATATTTTTTCATCAATGCAACAAACGTGGATTTTTTAAAAAATATTTTTTCATCAATGCAACAAACGTGGATTTTTTTAAAAAATATTTTTTCATCAATGCAACAAACGTGGATTTTTTAAAAATATTTTTTCATCAATGCAACAAACGTGGATTTTTTAAAAAATATTTTTTCATCAATGCAACAAACGTGGATTTTTTAAAAAATATTTTTTCATCAATGCAACAAACGTGGATTTTTTAAAAAATATTTTTTCATCAATGCAACAAACGTGGATTTTTTAAAAAATATTTTTTCATCAATGCAACAAACGTGGATTTTTTAAAAAATATTTTTTCATCAATGCAACAAACGTGGATTTTTTAAAAAATATTTTTTCATCAATGCAACAAACGTGGATTTTTTAAAAAATATTTTTTCATCAATGCAACAAACGTGGATTTTTTAAAAAATATTTTTTCATCAATGCAACAAACGTGGATTTTTTAAAAAATATTTTTTCATCAATGCAACAAACGTGGATTTTTTAAAAAATATTTTTTCATCAATGCAACAAACGTGGATTTTTTAAAAAATATTTTTTCATCAATGCAACAAACGTGGATTTTTTAAAAAATATTTTTTCATCAATGCAACAAACGTGGATTTTTTAAAAAATATTTTCAAAATTTTAACTAATCTGGATTTTTAAAAATGTTTTTTTTTTTTCATTTTTTCCTCAATTATGCCCTCCACTGTTCCGCCCGCCCAAAATCCGGCTATGTAAATTTTCGCATGTTTGCCGGAAACTTACACATGTTCATTTTTGGTATTTTACAGCTGCTGATGCTACTTCTGCTCTGGTTGATGTAACAATGCCTTTGGTACTTTGTATTTGCCTATGGTTGTGGTTTTCCCCCAGCATGTGTGTGTTAGTTCATTCATGTGTGTGTGTGTGTGCGTTTTGGTAAATTTGAGTGAAAGCATACAAAGCACAAAAAAGGTCTATGTGGTTTTCCACACTTATGGGTGTGTGGGCGTATGTATGTGTGCGTGTGTGTCTGTGGTCCACAGACAGACACACCAAGTCATGGCAAACAATTTACCTTTTTCTTGTTCTTTTCTTTTCATTTTTTGTTTTTGCCAAAGTTCCTGGGGATAGGAAACAGACAACAATTTGAATGCTAAACTACCTAAAATGGTGTGGCATGGTATTCTTTGATAGGTATACGTATGTGTGTTTGTGTGTGTGCGGGCGTATGTTTACTTATCATATCTTGAACAGTTGTTGCTGTTGCTGTTGCTTGTAAGAAATTGTGTAATAATGACCCATATTTATGTTTCTTAGGGCCTATCTTTACCGACACATGCTAAACATAGATGTCTTCTTGTTGTCCTTATGGTTATTGTCGACATTGTCTTTTGTATTGCCTAGTTCGGGCCCCCTTAATATTTACATTAACCTATTATTTAAACTTTACCACAGATACGTGTGGCAAAAGTTTTTTCATTGTTATTGGGAGTTTCTTTTGGTTGGGGGGTTGTGGGAAATTTGAAAAAAAGTTTGTATTTTCACTTAAGGAGATTTGGAGAATTATGAAAATTATTTTATTAGAGAAAATATTGGTTAAAGGTATAAGATCTCCTAAGGCTCTGGAGCTCTCATACCTTTAACCAATATTTTCTCTAATAAAATAATTTTCATAATTCTCCAAATCTCCTTAAGTGAAAATACAAACTTTTTTTCATAAAGCCATAAATTAAAAAAAAAAAACAAAATTGAAGGAAAAACTATAAAAAATTACAAATATTTTTAAACAAATCCACGCCTTATTTCGGTTCTAATAAAAAATAATTAGAAAAACAAAAATTTTTGAAAAGATATTTTTAAAATTTAAAAAGAAATAAATATCCACTTTTATGGAAACAATATTTTTAGAATTAAAAAAAAAATTTTAGAATTAAAAATAAAATTAAAAATACAATTTTTTTGGAAAAAATATTTGAAAAACATTATTAGCTCACTATCTTCGAAATTTTTTTTAAAAAATATTCAATAAAAACCCAAGGCATCAAAAACTATATAAAAAAATTCTTGAAAAATATTTGTAAAAAATCATCGTTTTTGATATATTTTTTTAAGAATTCCACGTCTTTGAAAATTTATAAAAAAAATTTTAAGAGTTCCTCTTCTTTAAAAATTCTATAAAATATTTTTGAAAAATCATCGTTTCGATATATTTTTTATGAATTCCACACCTTCGAAAATTTTAAAAACATTTTTATCAAATCCACATCTTCACAAAAAAATTTAGATGTATTTTAAAAACTTAACGTCTTTGGAAATGTTGGAAAATATATTTTTATAAAAAATCCAAGTTTTAAAAATGTTGGAAAATATATTTTTAAAGAATCCACATCTTGGAGAAGTCTTTAAGCAAACATATTTCAAAAATCTATGTCGTTGGAAAATTAAAAGAAAAAATCCAAGTCTTTTATTAAATTCTTAAAAAAATATTTTTAAAGAATCCTCGTCTTGGAAAATTCTTAAAACAAATATATTTTAAAAATTAATGTCTTTGGAAACTAACAAAAATGTAAAATCCAAGTGTTTTTTTTTTCAATTCTTAAATATTTTTAAAAATCAATGTCTTTGGAAATTAAAAAAATCGAAAATCCATTTTTTTTAATTTATAAAAAATATTTTAAAAAAGTGCACGTCTTCAAAAAATTTTAAACAAACACTTAAAACAATTCACGTCTTCAGAAGTTCTTATAAAAATATTTTTAAAGCACTCACGTTTTCGAAAATCTTCAAACAAATATTTAAAAAATCCAGTTCTTCAAAAGTAATAATAAAAATATTTTATTATTTTTTAAAAAAATATTTAAAAAAATCCACGTCATCAGAAGTTTAAAAAAAATCCATGTCTTCAGAAGTTTTTAAAAAAGTATTAAAAAAAATCCACGTCTTCAGAAGTTTTTAAAAAAATATTAAAAAAATCCACGTCTTCAGAAGTTTTTAAAAAAATATTTAAAAAAATCCACGTCATCAGAAGTTTTTAATAAAGTATTTAAAAAAAATCCATGTCTTCAAAAGTTTTTAAAAAAATATTTAAAAAAAATCCACGTCTTCAGAAGTTTTTAATAAAATATTTAAAAAAATCCACGTCATCAGAAGTTTTTAATAAAATTTTAAAAAAAATCCACGTCATCAGAAGTTTTAAAAAAAATATTTAAAAAAAATCCACGTCATCAGAAGTTTTTAATAAAATATTTAAAAAAATCCACTTCATCAGAAGTTTAAAAAAAAATATTTAAAAAAATCCACGTCATCAGAAGTTTTTAATAAAATATTTAAAAAAATCCACTTCATCAGAAGTTAAAAAAAAATATTTAAAAAAATCCACGTCATCAGAAGTTTAAAAAAAAATATTTAAAAAAATCCATGTCTTCAGAAGTTTTTAAAAAATATTTAAAAAAAACGATCTTCAGAAGTTCTTATAAAAATATTTTTAAAAAAATCCACGTCTTCAGAAGTTCTTAAAAAAATATTTTTAAAAAAATCCACGTCTTCAGAAATTCTTAAAAAAATATTTAAAAAAATCCACGTCATCAGAAGTTTTTAAAAAAATATTTAAAAAAATCCATGTCTTTAGAAGTTTTTAAAAAATATTTAAAAAAAACGATCTTCAGAAGTTCTTAAAAAAATATTTTTAAAAAAATCCACGTCTTCAGAAGTTCTTAAAAAAATATTTTTAAAAAAATCCACGTCTTCAGAAATTCTTATAAAAATATTTAAAAAAAATCCACGTCTTCAGAAGTTTTTAAAGCTCGTCTTCAGGAGTTCTCATAAAAATATTAAAAAAAATCATGTCTTCTAAAATTTTTTAAAAAAAATATTTAAAAAAATCCACGTCTTCAGAAGTTTTTAAAAAAATATTTAAAAATATCCACGTCTTCAGAAGTTCTTAAAAAAATATTTAAAAAATTCATCTCTTCCAAAACTTTTAAACAAATATTTAAAAAAATACACGTCTTTAGAAGTTCTAATAAAAATATTTTTTAAAACACCCAGGTCTTCAGAAGTTCTTATAAAAGTATTTAAAAAAATCCGCTTTCTTATAAAAATATTTTTTAAAAATCTACGTCTTCAGGAGTTCTTATATTTTTTTTTTTTAATCCACATTTTGGAAAAATATTTTAATCAATGCAACAAACGTGGATTTTTTAAAAAATATTTTTTCATCAATGCAACAAACGTGGATTTTTTAAAAAATATTTTTTCATCAATGCAACAAACGTGGATTTTTTAAAAAATATTTTTTCATCAATGCAACAAACGTGGATTTTTTAAAAAATATTTTTTCATCAATGCAACAAACGTGGATTTTTTAAAAAATATTTTTTCATCAATGCAACAAACGTGGATTTTTTAAAAAATATTTTTTCATCAATGCAACAAACGTGGATTTTTTAAAAAATATTTTTTCATCAATGCAACAAACGTGGATTTTTTAAAAAATATTTTTTCATCAATGCAACAAACGTGGATTTTTTAAAAAATATTTTTTCATCAATGCAACAAACGTGGATTTTTTAAAAAATATTTTTTCATCAATGCAACAAACGTGGATTTTTTAAAAAATATTTTTTCATCAATGCAACAAACGTGGATTTTTTAAAAAATATTTTTTCATCAATGCAACAAACGTGGATTTTTTAAAAAATATTTTTTCATCAATGCAACAAACGTGGATTTTTTAAAAAATATTTTTTCATCAATGCAACAAACGTGGATTTTTTAAAAAATATTTTTTCATCAATGCAACAAACGTGGATTTTTTAAAAAATATTTTTTCATCAATGCAACAAACGTGGATTTTTTAAAAAATATTTTTTCATCAATGCAACAAACGTGGATTTTTTAAAAAATATTTTTTCATCAATGCAACAAACGTGGATTTTTTAAAAAATATTTTCAAAATTTTAACTAATCTGGATTTTTAAAAATGTTTTTTTTTTTCATTTTTTCCTCAATTATGCCCTCCACTGTTCCGCCCGCCCAAAATCCGGCTATGTAAATTTTCGCATGTTTGCCGGAAACTTACACATGTTCATTTTTGGTATTTTACAGCTGCTGATGCTACTTCTGCTCTGGTTGATGTAACAATGCCTTTGGTACTTTGTATTTGCCTATGGTTGTGGTTTTCCCCCAGCATGTGTGTGTTAGTTCATTCATGTGTGTGTGTGTGTGCGTTTTGGTAAATTTGAGTGAAAGCATACAAAGCACAAAAAAGGTCTATGTGGTTTTCCACACTTATGGGTGTGTGGGCGTATGTATGTGTGCGTGTGTGTCTGTGGTCCACAGACAGACACACCAAGTCATGGCAAACAATTTACCTTTTTCTTGTTCTTTTCTTTTCATTTTTTGTTTTTGCCAAAGTTCCTGGGGATAGGAAACAGACAACAATTTGAATGCTAAACTACCTAAAATGGTGTGGCATGGTATTCTTTGATAGGTATACGTATGTGTGTTTGTGTGTGTGCGGGCGTATGTTTACTTATCATATCTTGAACAGTTGTTGCTGTTGCTGTTGCTTGTAAGAAATTGTGTAATAATGACCCATATTTATGTTTCTTAGGGCCTATCTTTACCGACACATGCTAAACATAGATGTCTTCTTGTTGTCCTTATGGTTATTGTCGACATTGTCTTTTGTATTGCCTAGTTCGGGCCCCCTTAATATTTACATTAACCTATTATTTAAACTTTACCACAGATACGTGTGGCAAAAGTTTTTTCATTGTTATTGGGAGTTTCTTTTGGTTGGGGGGTTGTGGGAAATTTGAAAAAAAGTTTGTATTTTCACTTAAGGAGATTTGGAGAATTATGAAAATTATTTTATTAGAGAAAATATTGGTTAAAGGTATAAGATCTCCTAAGGCTCTGGAGCTCTCATACCTTTAACCAATATTTTCTCTAATAAAATAATTTTCATAATTCTCCAAATCTCCTTAAGTGAAAATACAAACTTTTTTTCATAAAGCCATAAATTAAAAAAAAAAAAACAAAATTGAAGGAAAAACTATAAAAAATTACAAATATTTTTAAACAAATCCACGCCTTATTTCGGTTCTAATAAAAAATAATTAGAAAAACAAAAATTTTTGAAAAGATATTTTTAAAATTTAAAAAGAAATAAATATCCACTTTTATGGAAACAATATTTTTAGAATTAAAAAAAAAATTTTAGAATTAAAAATAAAATTAAAAATACAATTTTTTTGGAAAAAATATTTGAAAAACATTATTAGCTCACTATCTTCGAAATTTTTTTTAAAAAATATTCAATAAAAACCCAAGGCATCAAAAACTATATAAAAAAATTCTTGAAAAATATTTGTAAAAAATCATCGTTTTTGATATATTTTTTTAAGAATTCCACGTCTTTGAAAATTTATAAAAAAAATTTTAAGAGTTCCTCTTCTTTAAAAATTCTATAAAATATTTTTGAAAAATCAT